AACGATTTACCCTTTGATTTAGAGTTACCGTAATGATAAATAGTGATTATTTCTTGATGAAATTTGAGACTTGTCTACTTTGAGTGACTTTGAATAAGACCCACCAGTCTGCCTATGCTTTTACGACTTCTCTCATAATTATCCAACATCTTTGAGTAGAAAGCACCCAGCTTTCACATGAAAGCCACTAATGTCAATCATCCTTACGAAACCGCAATAACTTATTTGTTTATTTGTCTATGTACTCTGAAAAGAACTTATCCAACGAAAGACACGAATTTGTTGATTATAAACTCGTCAACAAGTCAGTTTACATTTTCATCCTCTCTCTCTATTGATTTGAAGGTTTCTACCTGCATTTCTAGAAATGTCAACTGCATATACTACCGCATCAATTCTATTCTTCATATTACAGTTTCTGATATATTTTATTTTTATTTTTTTTATTAATTTAATGATTACAGCTTGATTCCACACTGTATTTTTGGTACAAGTGTGGAATTTTCGGCATGGATATCGGTAGCCCAAATTTTGCAGGCCGACCATAGATATCAGGTGTGCATCGGCAGGGGATCGAACCTCGAACCATGTGCATGGTCGGCGAGAGTCCTAACCACTGTGTCATAGATGCACAGTAACTTATTCCCCAACGGTTTTAATATCCAATGGGAAGTTTGAAATTCATTAAAAAGCATACTGAGAACAGATGACACATTCAGAAGAAAGCAGTTCCTAAATTTTCAAACCTCCACAGTTCATTTCACACTGGCCTCACAAGTATTCTGGACGAATTTTCACGCACTTTTTATATTTTAATAACAGGTAAGCGATAATTAATTGTAATATAATAACTGATTCATTCATTGCAAGTAATGAATGTTGATTAGTTCTGAATCAGTGGTTAGTGTGGTGAATGTATTTGTGCGGGTTCCTTTAAACACTCTAGAGTGTACATTAAAAACATCGGCTTACTTCTTAGGGCTATACCAACATCCAATTAGCATGAAGTTGGAAGTCACTGTGTATAAATGAAGTTTCTACTCTGAAAAGTCTGAAAATTAAGTTAATTTAACTCTCTATGGTGTATTCAGACTGATAGCAAAATAGATTGATGAAATTCTAGTCTTTTTACTAAACATAACATACAATCAAACCAAATCCCTACAAAACCAATACTTAATAATTGCTAAACATTAAATATAACTTCATTAAACACGAAAGTTAAGACAATTATTATATATATCTGAAGACTTACGACAGATAAACCCAGACCCCAACAAGCACCAGCTAAGATCCTGAGTTTTTTCTGGAGAGAACAATGAAACAACAAAATTCTATGTAAATGCATCAGTCAGACAGTAGCAAAAATATCAAGATATCAAGTAAGCTGCCTAAATTTAAGCACGATTATGCTTACCTCCAACCAAGTACGAACAATATGAAATTTCCTCAACACATACCTCTCTGATACTTCTTGAAGTAGATCATAACGTGGATTTCACTTGTTTTTAGTATTCTCTGAATATGCAAGTAGAATGATAAGAGAGTGCCACAGAAAATGACCTGCTTTGCTAAAAACATAGCTCTTCATTTCCACATCAATTCTTCTAAGTACGATAATTAACGAGTTTTAACAATGCTTAAAGACTCTGACATAAACCCTTCTTTATGTTCTTCCTATGTAACTGCTCTCGCAAATACGTGCAAAACTGATGTGCATAGCTGGGAGTAACATACTAAGGGTGCCTGTCCAGTTTCAACTTTGAAAATTGGCAGGATGTACAAAGTCAGTGTTGTACCCAAAACGTTTATTCACCTCACACATACACACATCCCATATGGATTGAGGTTGAATGAAAATTAGTCGCTCACCGACTGTAATTTTATCTGGTTTCCTACATTCTTTCTTGACATTTATGCTGATAAAGCTTTGTCGATAGCTCAAGTCTTCATCAGTTTTCTGAGGCTACCTCAATTAAACTGCTGAAAGTTGATCCACGTGTTCAGAAGTAACCATGATGGGACCTAAATCGCCCTAGTAATCGTCTATGAATAAGAAATCTGTCACTGTAGGACAGGTTGATCAATGCGAAGGTCATTCAGAATATATTTGTCTCAAACACATCTAGACACTTTTATTTTCTTCAAGAATTTCTTCTGCACAGATTTTATTTATGATATGTCTTGATATGTTTCACCGAATGTTGATTTAACATCCTGCTTGGTAGCGGAACTTAAATTAGTTTTAAGAATCTAAAGCTTTTTAGAATTTGAAGGAAATATTCATCTTTGCTTCATTTTAACAAAATGAGGCAATTTTTTACTAAGTTTACTTACATAAAAATAACTGGAACTCATGAAGACTATTCCAAGGATGATAAGTCCAGACGATATGGTGGTGAATACTATTAATCCTCTGTAACTTAATTTCTAGTTGTGAAACCTGAGAGAATTGCCAATGCAGCTAAAATAAATCCGACAGCCAGTGAAAAAATACCATAAACTAAATCGAGAGTATCAAATATTTGGTTCCAGCAATCGATATTAAAACAACCTGTAAAAACAAGTGCACAAAACGAAAGCAAATGCAAAGAAGTTGACGTATTCTGAATAAAAATATTCCACAGAAAGACAAAATATATGAACGAAGCAAGGAGATAAGAATATGTCAAGGGTGCTTTAGAAATCATTACATTGATGAGCCACACGATCTGAAAAGTTAGCAATACTAACATACTGCTTACATCAGTAAAATCCAATGCTGTGAAGTCATGCACAGAAGAGTTACGCTTTCCATCAAGTTAATTAATGATTGCCATAAATCCCACTAACGATTCTCAACGATGTTGACACACATTTGTCTGAATTCCACAAGTTTACATAGAAAACAATTAGTCCCTTTTATAAATTTTTATAGCATTATTAGAAGACGGAGATTATCTGAAAAATATGATGTATTGGCGCTATGCATTTCGAACAATCTGATCCCTCACACATTTACTTGTCAAGTCAGTATATATGGAAAAGTTAAATTAAACAAAGTGACAAAAAGGAATTAAGAATAATTAGCACAAACGTTTGGTAATGCAATTAAATAAGGATTACCAAGGTAGGTTAAGAGTAATAACAAACTGTTTTGAATACACAAAGGGGGCTTAAGTTCATGAATAGCTATAGCCTCAGCGTTTTTCAGGAAACGCCCTTGACCGTTTTTTAAATGACCTTAAAGGCTGAGTTAACATCAGTCTTATGGTTCATCTCGATTAGATGTTTAGCTATAGACGAAGTTGATAGTCTGACACCTGCATATATTGGCTTGTCAGAATTCATCTGTTTTTCTAACCATTTTGAGATATGCTCTCCCACCCTCACGTGCAAAGCGCGATTACTCCTCCATATGTATGTATGTCCACACAGACACGAAAATTGGTAAATTGTGTGGGATGTGATATAATCACTTGTGCACTTTTGAGGTTTGAAGTGAAGCATATTTTTAGCTTTTCCACAATTACAAGCTGGCTGCATAGTAGGTTCTACGGATGATTGAATTCAACCTTTGTCCCCGTTATATGGTAATTTGATAAAGACTTTTTTCTTAGGGACGTCATGGATTGTAGGTTTAGAGACTAGTTGACTTCTACACCTGTTTAAAAATTTCAAAGGATATCCGTTTTCAACAAGAGTATCCATCAATATTTCATTTTCTTTGTCTATAACATCAGCCGTGCAAACACGTTGAATCCCCTTAAATAGACACTGAACCAAGCACCTCTTATACTGTAATGGACAGAAGCTGTGGAAATTAAGGTATTGTCCTGTCCAAGTGGGCTTTCTGTAGATAGACTGTCTTACTGAGCCATCATCTCATCGACTCAGAAGTATGTCTAAAAATGCAAGCTAGTTGCGACTTTCTTCCTTGCATGTTAGACTAATATGATTCTGTACAGAGTTGAGTCTGTCTAATAGACGACTCGCATCTTCATGATTGTCGCATATCAAGATAATATCATCTACATATCTCTTATGGAAGGGCAATTTAGAAATTAAATCAAAGGATAGGTTTTCAACATAAGACATGTAAACGTCGGCTAATAAAGGTTTGTAATGGACTCCCCATAGCAAGGCCATCCACTTGTCGGAAATGTTCACCTTCAAAGGTGAAGTGGACGTTGTCAGTACATAATAGTAATAAATCTTTCAAATAAGTTAAAGGAAAAGGAAATGAAAAACAACTAGAAGATGTATAGTGCCAATACATCACATTTTTCAGATAATCTCCGTCTTCTAATAATGCTATAATGGTTTACATATAGTCATATCTATGTTGGAAACACTGTTCAGCGTAATTTTGTATTGAAAGGAACATAAGCTTATCTTCGTTGTAGTGCATACATATTGATTACCCTAAAATATTAAAATAAAAGTGACCACACAAAAGTCATATCTGAGCATCATGTATTCAGTCAGTCAGTCAGCTAAAATGAGCAATATGCAAGATTTGACAGAATATCCTTTTTTCTAGTTGCTAGGCAAACCTCACGTGTAAATCATGTTTTGCATAACACGTTATTAAGAATGAAGTCAAGTAGAATAAATACTACGTAAAGACTTTGAAAGTATATAATACAATAATCATTTTGTAATGGCAATGGTAAAGTTCAGAAGTTCGACTGAAGTACAGAATAAACTCACCGCAGTTACGACCATTATAATATTATTAGGATAAGTGTAGCGAGCCTTCGTGTCGAAGTCAAGTATAAGTGTTATTACTGCGGCAATCACACTAAAAGTGGAATCAAAAATACTGCTTTGAAATTTCACATACTTCATACACAAAATATGTAGGTATATGATTTTAAGTGTCTTTGATAATGTCAGAAAACTATTGTAATATACAATGTATTTACGATGAATACCCAAGCAGTATAAAACACGAAGACTGAGACTACTTCACATCACTACTTCAATACATCACATTGATGGACACCACACATATCTGTTCTGAAAAGTGAATTAAGCCAGAAACAACACAAAATTCAACATGAATGAACAAGCATATTGATTAGAACTAGTGAATGAAAAGGGGGGAGAGTGGCACTTATGAATGGCTATGCCAGTTTCTTGAAAATTCCCTTTTAGTCAGTGATCTAGGGCTAATAATGCATTGTGCACATTCATAGATTTGAATCCTTCAGCTTTATAAATGAACATTCATCGATTTTCGTATTCAACTATAATTAAATAGGATATGTGACTTACATGGACACCACCACTAGTATATCGAACAGATGTTTGTCTAAGCTTATATGACATAAAAGCAAACGATTAAATAATATTATTTCAAGTTACAAGTCTGGAAATTTTAGAAATTGAAAACTGTATTCTATCATCCTTTTCAGTTATTATCCGAGAATTACGTTTTAGAATGAAACCGAACAAAACTGTTCCTGTTGAAATAGACAGAAGAATAACTTTGATATAGGCATATATATATATATATATATACATATATATATTTAGAAATTCGAAAGTGACAATAACTGGCATTTAAAATGTACTTATGTAGGAAACATCGTTTTAACCACAGGCGGGCGGGACGAATGAAGGTGTAAAGTCAGAATCATAAAGACAAGATACACCTTCATTAACTTGATACCAGTTTGGAAATCTTCTACACTCAGCATTAGGAACAAGATTCGCATTTTCAACACCACTGTCAAGTCGGTCAGTGCTTCTATATGGTTCAGAAACTTGACCAACCTGTCACGAAAAGGATTTCCAACAGCTTACTGCAGACTTTGGTCAACAGCTGCCATTTCGCTGTCTCCATACTGAAGATAAAATGGCCAGCAAGAAAGAATAAGCAAAAAGAAACTCTGGCTGTGAACGAACCAACCAAGAACCGATTGCTCAATAAATGTTTAGGTGAAAATTGAGATAGATTAGGCATTCATTGAGGAGGCTTTCGAATGACATCGCATCCCAGGCCGTCAATGAAGTGAAATTCTAATCGGAAGCATCGAGTGGGTTGTCGGTGCGAGGATGACATGGGGGAGGTCGTGTTAGGAATATATGAGAGAGTTTGGGCAACCTTGGACCTAGCTGAAGAGGATGGCAGAAAAAAGAAGGTGGAGATGTGTTTTTGAAGCTCTACTTTCCACTCGAAACACAAAGGAACAATAATGATAACAATGTGTAATAAAAACCAAATTAAGAATGCTATTCAACAGAAGCTATCGTAAGTCGAACCACTACATCAAGCAGGAACAGAACTTAGTGTCTTACAGAGGGACAGCTGCTCAACTAGTTACGTCTGCTCGGCTAAAGTCTTGTTTCAATTTTCTAAATACCCTTGAACTAATTTAAATATTTTTATTTGAAGTTATCCAAAGTTAAAGATGTCTTTTTTCCTACATATGCAAATTATAATTTATCCACTTATAGAGCTGAAGTTTTAGAATTGTTAGACAAACTAGATGCAATTCAATAACTCACATGGAAAATTTCACATTACTGAAAAAACTTCACACTACTGTACTTTTTCCATTTCAATTTAACTAAGAAATCTACAATCTGTAAAATGAAACAACTTCAGTAAAGTATGCCTAAGTTCTTCTATGTGGGTCAGAAACTTGACGAACCCGTCACGAAAAGCATTTCCAACAGCCTTTTGCAAACTTTAAGCTACAGCTGACTTACTAGGCTCAAATTGCCAGAAATGATCAGAAACACGAAACTCTGGGATCCAAGCAATCAAGAACCCATCAGGCGACAGTACACGGACGTGAATGGAGATGCATCAGTCACACACTTTGGATACCACTAGATAACAACTACCGCCAGGCCATCGAGTGAGATGATATACAGTGGTGGTGATGAAGTCCTATGTTCCACTCGGAGTCTGAGAGAACGATATTATTATTAATAATACGTCTGCAAATATCCTTTCAGGCAGTATATCGTGTCATATATGACGTTCACCTGTTTATAAGTTTATTATCAATGAACTAATGGATTCAAATATTGTTCGTTTGCTGAGAAGTATATTTGTGACAATAGTAACTCATTTTGTATATATAAAATTAAATCAACACAAAAACTCCCCAAATGGATAAAAACATAAGAAACTTACTGTTTTCAGCATTTAACAACCTGTATACAGAACCAAATAATTTCAGCATTTATTTGATAATTGTGGAACAAAGTCTCCTACAGACATGTTTGTCGCAGAAACAATAAGCCTTTGAAAGGATACTTTGTACCTAACTTCAGAGGAGTCATTTTTCAACCAATCCGATCAATTAATCTCGTGAAAAAAATTAGAGATAGTTCATAAATGTTGATACTAAGCAAAACCAAGCCTTTTGGCTAGATAATCAGCAGTAGTTTACTGATGTTACTTGTACAAAGTCTGTCAAGGATGAATAATTCTATCTAACATTCAGAGTGTTATAATAACTAGAATAGCGATGTGCTATTTTTAAAACTTTTTCTATTCCCTACTTTCTAAGTGTAACACAGAGATTGAAGCTAGAGATTTGAATTTTCTGTAGTGGTTGTGTTTATTTTATGGAATAGAGTTGCTATTCTTATTCTCAACCTTCCCTCTTTACCACTTTTATTACTGGCTTGATGAGGTGAAGCCGTGCGTCGACCGGGCATCGAACCCCGAGGCACGTGACGCTTGATTGGTGAGCAGTCTGCCGCTGCACCACCGAAACACGTCTTATTCGTAATTTTATCAGTACGTTGTATACACCTACGTAAAACGCTATGTGAATGCAAGTGGACAGCTACGTGAATGAATATGGCTAAACAACCCACTTCACCCAAATAATTGTTCATCTCTTGATCCTGACTTCATCACAAATACTCATCTCTTGCCATGTCAATAGAAACCACTCGACAGTTATGTCACTCGAAGTCACGACACCTCAGCAATGATGGTATCGGTGATTGACGTAGGAGTTTCAACATATGTGGCCAGTCAATCGACTATTGATCCAATTAGACAGAACCTAGTAGCTCATGGATTCTAACTTCTGTCTTTTCGCGAATGGCTTCAGTGATCACCCGTTTACCATTCTACGGGACGAATGATAGAAATTACATATTCCTATCAAATCTGCAATGTTCTTATCCTCTTTTAATTCCTCAAAGTTTTCATTCTTCTGGCGGCTGTTATAAATTTATGCCTCACTGTTCTCATTTGTGTGCCTGTTGTTGTCTAGCAAGTAAAGTGAATTTCTATGAGGCTAATGGCGCAAACATCACAGTAATTATATACTTATAATGTAAAATCTTTCAAAGTTGCTCAGTGTACCTGCTTAGGCCACTACCAAAGAAAGTGCACAAAACGTTCAGGTACCTGCCGAGTTGGGGAAAGCTCACTTTGTCAAAGTGCTGAAGAACATTAACACTCGCTTGTGCAAACCGTAGTATACAGTCATGCAGAATACTAACTGACATAATCCTGGAAAGATTAGGAGATGTTTTTGGTGGTAGATTTCTCCTGGATCCTCATTTATTCAGAGAGGGCGAATTACTGACGTATCAAATGACGTAACAATGAACCATTTGAAAGAGGCATGAATCTTCCAGTCACACTTCATGTCACCCTACCAGATGTAAACAGCTGTTCTAGCAATTAGATGTATGGTAGTAAAACATATTTTCAAAACATATTTTCTTGGAACCTTTGGAATTACCTCGTGTATCGTCTTGGTGAAAACAACGCAAAATTCGTCAAGAGGACTATACATATTCATCTTTTGAAGAAGGATCATCTGTTTGCTGCCAGTATTGTTTAACTTCTCTGCAAGAATGGGGTTCACGGATGTCTATCGTTTCTCATAAAGTACAAAATTAAGGGAGAATGCAAATCTTATTTGTTCACGTCTGTTTATTTGCAGGAAACGAAAGTGTGCCCAATAACAATTTCTCAACGCATGAAAGAAAATTTTTCCAAAATTTAAACAATTGCTCGAAAAGCACTGAAATATACAGAACTACATCACTCACACTGTTATTTCGTGAACCGATACAATACTGTGTTGGTTTGAAATTTTTAGAAACAAGTGATGTTTCAGAAAAGAAACCAATGAAACATCCATTATTATCCAAGATATAATCTGTATTTCGTTTCCACCCTAATTACTACTGAAATACTTGTGTTCGTATCATTCCCACCATGATTTTCAGTAAGACAGCGTCGTTACTGCCATAAAGAGTAGTCATTCTATTATTTACACATATGTTTTAGGCTTTTATTCATGCTATTTATTGGTAAGTTTAATTCGGGTTATCAGGTAGCTTCGTAATTGCTGCACCATTCCTGAAGCTTTTTAACATTCTGGGAAGACTTTTGAGACCACATTATTGTCGCACAATGATAGTCCTGTCTAAAGAGTATTTCTGCGGTAGAGGGAAGTTCAATGTGTTAATGCGTGAGAGCCACACTTTATCACCCACTGAGTCCGGTGATTCTCATGGTGCACGACCTGAGTTCTTGCCTTAAAATTTAAATGTGAAGCACCTTTCCTTGATTTCAAATTTGAACGAGTTAAAATCCATGGGATGGCTCGTTTTGACAACATATATAATATTGCTGACCATTTTTCCTACTTTCCAACTTAAAGTGATTCTTCTATATTATTTTGTGTTCCAGTCATCAAGGCAAATTTTGGTTTGCTTCTGTGCATTGGCGTCAAAGTTCTGCAATTTATTATCTACTGCATTTAATCATTGCTTTACACTTCTGATTCTCATTGGACTGATAAGGAGAGGTACTATCGGAAACTATCAGGAGAATCTATGTAGTCGCTGAATGAGGTAATTTACATTCCATAGACATAGTTAAAATCCTAATTGAAGTGCGCTACTGACTAGCAATTGTTTGTGTGTTCAATTTAGATGAGGGCGATACGAAATGAGTCCATGCAAAATGATCAGTTTTCAGTTGAGTATCACCTGTTGATTTTATGGGTATTAACTTCATCGCTAGGAACAGCCTATCTAACACGATTCCTAAACTTATATACTTCGTTTTTAAGTATTGGTTTTGCAGGGAATTTCTCTCTAATTGATTGGAGGATTTCATCATGACCAGACATCAGTTAGATAACTGTGAAAAATGTTTGGAGTACTGGGAGTACAAACTAGGACGAAACAGCTGTTCAGTTATTATTATTCCCTTTAATCCCTGGAGAAACATAGGGTCTCTACTATGCGTTCGGTTCTCTGCTAAAGTTTTCACCTGACTCCAACTCTGCCCACATGCTTTCATCTCCTCTTCAGACGACCTCCCCAAGTCACCCTTGCACTGACGACCAACTCGCCGCTGATCTTTTGGGTTCCACTCGAGCAGTGGCTTGTCTAGTGATGTCACTTCATGGTTTCCTCAGAGTATGACCAGCCAATCCATCTCCATATCTTCCTGCCCATTTGTTTCACAATCGGTTTCTTGTTGGTTCGCTCATTGCCAGAGATCCCTGTTTCTGATCTTTTCTGGCCATCTGATCTTGAGTATTGAGCGAAGATAACTGTTAATGAAGGTCTGTAGTTTGTTTGAGATGCTCTTCATGACGCGCTGACGAAGTCTCTGATGCTTATAGTGAGTAGTAATGACTTCACATTGGAGTTGAATATCCGGATGTTATTTTTGATGCTGAGTGCTGTTAACCTCCACACAGACTTAAGGGTAATGAAAGCCTGTCTTGCTTTTCCGATTCTGGCTTTGATATTTTCGTCAGTTTGGCCTGTATTTGAAACGATGCTTCCCAGGTAGGTGGGTAGGTAAAGGAGGTTGTTTCTTTCAGGTTCCTCCCATTTATGCTGGCTGATTGTTGTCTGTTGTTGTTGTTGCTGTTGGTGTTGGCCAAGAATCTTCATCACCTCTGTTTTCTCTATGTTCACCTGAAGTCCTATCTTTGATGCTTCTTCTGCCAACTTGTTGCTTTTCACTTGCATATCTTCCAGTTTGTTGTTAATCAGACATATATCATCATCGGCGAAGTCCAGACCCTCCAAGTCTCTTTTTGTGTCAGTCCATTTTATGCCTGTTTCCTCATTGCCTGTTGTCTGCCCCATTATCCAATCTACTGCAGTCAGGAAGATCACTGGTGATAGTAGACAGCCTTGCCTCACTCCCGTCCCCACTTCGAAGGCTTCTGTAAGTTTTCTATTGTGGATTACTTGGAATGCAGCATTGTCGTATAACTGTTGGATGAGATGTATAATTGTCGATGGGACCCCGTAGTAGCGAAGTAGTTTCCAAATCACCTCTCGATCGACGCCGTCTGTCGAAGGCCTTTTCAAAGTCGATGAAGATGAGTGATGTAGAGAGGTGACTGCTATTCCAAGCTTTGTTCAATGGTGATCCGTAGTGTGTCGATTTGATCAATACATGACTTGTTTCTCATGAATTCAGCTTGTTACGGTCGGAGTTTTTCACCTGGGGCTTGTTTGATTCTCTCGAGGATGATGTGGCTTAGTATTTTGCTTTGGATGGACAGGAGCATAATTCCACGCCAGTTTTGGCATTGACTTAAGTCTCCTTACTTTGGTAGTTTGAATAAGTATCCTTTCTTCTAATCCTTAGGTACTTTGCCCTCTTTAGAAGTTTAACTAATATGAAATAGTTACTATTGTTGTCTTTTCAAAGTTTGTATTGATTGATTTGTTGATAAGAGTAGTAAATAATTTCAGCCAAGTCATCACTAGTCTATTCTTTACTCTCCTCTCTTTTCAGACAGTGACCGTAAACTGATGATGAATAGTTCCTAACTGCCACATTGTATCTTTTACTTCAATAGGTATATAGTTTGAAAATTATCAACTTCGGTTTCCAGTGATTCGTTAAGTGGTGTGAATAGAGTGATGAAATCTCCGCTGATATTAATCAGAGATCTGTTGTAATTATTATTCCCTTGAGTTCCAAGTGAAATATAGGGCTTTAACAAAACATCTCCACTTTGTCCTATCTTCCGCCGTCCTCTTCACCTTGGGTCATGATTGCCCACAATCTCTCATCTCCTCCTCTTACTCACACGATCTCCACCATGTCACCCTAGCAATGACAATTCACTCGTCGCCGCTTCCCATTCGGGTGCCACTTAAGGAATGGCCTGCATGGTGCGCGACGTCATTTGACTGTCTCCTCAACTTATTTCTACCCAATCCATCTCCATTTTCTCCTACATATTAGTTGAGTGAGCGGTTCTTCGTTGGTTTATTCCCAGCCATAATTTCTTGTTGCTAATTCATCCTGGCCATTTGACCT